GCAGGAGATAGAGATGGTAGGAAATCAACTTCCTCTTACGTATTCACCTTATCAAATTCGTGTGTTAGTTGGAAATCACAGTTACAACACATAGTTGCACTATCCACTACAGAGTCAGAATATGTTGCTACCACTGAAGCAATTAAAGAGGCTCTATGACTTAGAGGTCTACTTCATGAATTGAGTGTCTTGAATGAGTATGTGGTTGTGTATTCTGATAGTCAGTCATCCATACATCTGTGTAAGAATCCTATTTTTCACGAATGCACTAAACATATCGATGTTAGGTTACACTTCATTAGGGATATAATATCACAAGAAGTAGTAAGACTTGAAAAAATTCACACACAGTATAATCCTTCAGATATGGGCACGAAAGTGCTGCCACTGGTAAAGTTTAGAAGTTGCAAAGAGCTTCTAAATATCGGTACAGGTAAATGATTTCAATTTTATTGATTTTTCTGTTAGAGATGTCATTAATGGAAAAACGTTTTTCTTTGCAGGTCCTTTGACACCAAGGTGGAGGTTGTTAGACATCATGTTGTCAAACGACCTCTCAGACGATGATGAAAACCAATTTTATCAGTCGACATGAATGACTGAACGATAATTCAACATCGAATAATGGATGAACCGACCTAACGTTGCTTTACCTATTGGATGGCTTATACTCTTTGTGGCTTGTTGTTTTTCTATTGGGACTTAACCCTAGTCGAGCCTACTTACCATATTGTGACTTACCTTAAGTTGTCCATTTAACTAATATATAAATTGGTAGTTAACCCCTACTCCTTTGTGCCGTGCTTGAAGAGAACCTAAGAGAGAGAGGTGTTATTCTTCTTCTTCTCCTTCATGCTTCCTGCCAAGTTATCTTCCCTACCAAATGCTTGAGGCTTTGTGACTCTTACCTGTGTGGTATCCATCCTAAGTGTGTGGTAGAATCAACAAGCAAAAGAGGAAATAGCAACCATAGGAAGGGCGGACGCCGGCGGTCGGTCATCTCTCGGTTTGGTGTTGAATTCGATGTTTAATAGTTAACTGAGCCCGGAAATCACTTTGAGCAGTTTAAGGAAGATCCTAACACGGTGAATTTCTTTGAGAGAAACCCTGTTCTTAGGGTTGCACCATATGTTGAGAAAGAGCTGCTAGTTTGCAAAGCTGTTGCTTCAGCCTGAGAACAAGCATTTTGCTTATTCGGGGTCGGGCAGGGTGACACAAACTCCTTAGTACGTTGAGTGATCCGCTGGCCACATAGAAATGAATTCTTTGCGGCTGGGCTAATGTCTGTCCCCCAAAATGAACTAAATTATGATGGTATGCAGGCATTGGCATCGAAGCGAATTCTTTGGATAGTAATCTTTAATCATAGCTATGTTTTTTTGAACTACAAAAATTTGATCACTGTCTTTCTTATGAAAAATTTCTGCCGTTCCACTTCAAATTAAGCTCTCAACTGTTATTTTTGTTACTTTTATGTTGTACAAGTAGGTTACATTGAGATAAATCTCGAGTAAAAAATTAATTGACTCCTTGCTTGCTATTTTAAATTGATGACATGTTATTGATTAGTTCAAACATGGCATGAAATAAACCATATAAAGACGGTGTTGAGTTCTGTATTTGACATAAAAGATTTAGGATATAGTAGACCGAATATTAAAGATGGACATAGAAAGATAAAATTGTTTTAGTTCTGAGACAAATTTCAAACATTTTGAAAGTGTTGTCTAAGCATAAGTCAAAATGTGTTACTTTAAACAAGCCATTTCAAGTGATGTAAAGAACAGTCTCCTATTGAATCTGAAGTGAGGTACCTTCTTATAAGACTGTGGGCTCAGTCATGTACATAATAGTGTTTTTTATAAAATAAATACCATATAACTTATTTTAGATTTAATTGAATTATAAGCAAATTATATTTGATTTAGAATAAACTAGTTTGAAAATAAATTAACAGCTCACTAGATTAATTTAGATTGAAGTTAGAATTGGAATAAAAATTGGAAGTAAGTAGTCTATAGGAAACGATAATGAGGACCACTTAATTATTTCTCACAATCAGTACACTCTTATAACCATTGGAGCTGAACACATGGCATACGGATTAACAAAATATCAAGCCGCCTAATGTTCAACATATAACATGATTATGCATACAGACTTAAATTAGACAATCTCGGAGAAGGAATAGCAAATAATGGTTCAGTTTTCCTCATCACAATTCCAAATGTCTCTGAGACATCAAGATTTTGGCCCTCCGGTATTGTCCAATCAAATGAATGCAGAAGTGAAGCTAGGACGTACATTACCATTTTCTCTGCTAGGTGAAGGCCGGGACATATCCTTCTTCCTGATCCAAATGGAAGATATTCAAGACTGTTTCCCAAATAGTCCCACAATTTGCCACCGTCGCCGTTCAAAAATCTTTTCGGCCTAAATTCCGATGGATTCTCCCAAATCTGTGGATCCATTTGCACTGACCATGTATTCAGAAAGACACGAGAACCCTTTGGTATAGTATATCGCCCGACGGTGCAAGATTCGCTCGAAATTCTTGGGACCAAGAGGGGAAGTGGAGGATGTAGGCGGAATGTTTCCTTCACAACTGCATCAAGATACTTCAGTTTCGCAACATGGAATTCTTCCACTGATTTGTTTATCCCGACAACATTTGTTAATTCTTGTTGCACCGTTTTTATTACATCTGGATTCCGCAAAATCTCTGTCATTACCCACTCGACTGTTGTTGCCGTTGTGTCCGTCCCCCCTATAGCGATGTCCTGTTGTCCACAACGTCAGTTCAGTTTGAAATTCAGTAGCACTCGACAGCAAGAAAGAAAACTAAAACTTTTGTTATTATACTATCCTTTCTTGTCCGATAATATTACAGGATTTTCTGGAAATCACAAAAAGTACTACCTACTTATGCAGCATGATTAAAAAAGAAGAATAAGCGAATATTTGAAAGAATTAATGGAATTGAAAACCGAAATGAGGGAAAATTTTGATGCTATTATAATCAGGAAATTGCACAAAAATAAAGAAATTACCACCAATATGGCCTTTATTTGAATCAGGTTAATTGAGGTATTCTTCTCCTTCAGCTCTAGAAGAATTTGCAGAAAGTCGTTCTTTCTGTTATCTTCTTCACCTCCACTAGAATCCGTCTTCATATGTTCATTTATGACGTTATCAAGAATCCCGTCAATATGTGCCAAACAATTCTTCATCTCTTTTGCTATTCCTTGAATGTCAAACCTGGCAAGAACTGGAAAAAAATCAGAAATGTTTGGTTTTCCAATCAAATCAACAACTTTTGATGCTACTTTACGAAACTCGGCCCGCTTGTGCCCGTCAATTGTGCCGCCCCACAACAAGTTCATTACAACGTTGAATTCAGTAACAAAAGCCAACTCCCCAATTTCTATGCTGGTGCCAATTTTTGTGTACACATTTCTGATAGCCTTTCTGACCTCGTCTTTTCGCATGTTGTAGGAAGCCTCAAGATTGTTGTTACTCAGCAATTCTCGTACGAACAATTTACGCATATCGCGCCAATAAGGGCCATAGGGCGACCAAAGAACATCCATTCCGCCGTAAGTTGAAATCAATCCTGCGACAGGTGCATCATGGTTGGCTAAAATCGTGTCTTGATCTCGAACAACTTCTTTAATCAGGCTCGGAGAATTGATAACTAAACATAGTTTCTTTCCAAGCCATAGCCGGTAGATTGGGCCATAGTGATGAGCCAATTCCGTGAACTGACGGTGCAAGTTTGTGCGCAGAAATGGTAAATATCCAAGAATTGGCAAACCTCTAGGCCCTGGTGGTAGCAAGGCCGTTTCTTTACTTGGTTTTTTGAATATCCATGAATAGCAGAATATAGACGCAATCACTATCAAGATAGCAAAAGCTGTACTTACAAGCTCATCCATCATTTTACTGCTTAAGATTGAAGAAGAAATGCTCAAATAACACTTCTTTATATAGCAAAGATTCATGAACTCTATACAAACTACAGCCATACAAATTAGTTATCTATACTGTGTTAATGAATAAATTCAACATCAAATAGTTTCTGAAATATAGAACCAACATATTAATCAAGTTGAACTTTTAAGATAGAACATCAAATTTTATCATGATATCAAAGTCCATTATGTTTCAACAAACAACTTGATATGATTAAGACTAAAAAAGGGTACACGGATTTGAAAATTGATCTGCTCAAACGAGTCGCCATTTTGCAGGACATGTTAAGGGATAAATTTCATGTCGAATAGTTATTGAAATATAGACCAATATATAAAGATATAAATTAGTTGACCTTTTAAATTGTTACCTCAAGTCCTAATAATGATGGAACCTCAAGTCCTAACATGTTGGCTTGAATTAATATATCTTTTAAGTTGGAGCCTCGAGTCTTCATAGAGATAGAATCTCAAATCTTAATATATTGGTCAATATTTTCTTATTTGGATTCATCTTTAAACACTTAACATGCAGTACGAGAACTATAATTGATTTTAAGATCTTTACCTACTACAATATCATATTGAATTATTTGATTTTTGGTAGAGAAAAGACTGATTCGTCTTTTGATGTGGCCCAAATGTTTGCCTCATCTTTCATGGCGTAATTGATGGCCGCACGATAAAATAGAACAGATGTTTTCTGTACTAACATTCAAACACTTTGAATTTATGTTAGAACTTGGGTAGTATGGAGATAGCGTACTGCAAACTTTGCGTGCTCATATTGAATTATTTGATTTTTGGTAGAGAAAAGACTGATTCGTCTTTTGATGTGGCCCAAATGTTTGCCTCATCTTTCATGGTGTAATTGATGGCCGCACGATAAAATAGAACAGATGTTTTCTGTACTAACATTCAAACACTTTGAATTTATGTTAGAACTTGGGTAGTATGGAGATAGCGTACTGCAAACTTTGCGTGTAGAAAAACAATGAACCTTGCTACACATGCACAGAGCCTGTACAGGTACATACACATGGGGTGGACCATCCCAAAAATTTTATAAAATAAAACTATTTAATTTATAGCATTCCCAATTAAGAATAACATAGTATATAAGTAATAGACTATAGATTTAGTCATGGTGTACCATTCCAAAAATTTTATAAAATAAAACTATTTGTTCTATTAGCTATATTTTTATAATATTGGCAAGTTGATGTACTAGGGTAAAATAGTATTAATTCAAATTTATTTGAGTCAAATATTTAGATTTCGATAGGGTGAAGATAAGTATATCAACATTGGATTCGTTGGATAGCTCGTAATTAATCATGTGTATTAGGCTAAAAAGAAATTAATTCGAATAAGTGAAACCTAAGTTATTAAAGTTTAAAGAAATTGCCAATAAATATTATTTTATTACTTTTGTTTTGTATTTGTGAAAGTGGGCAGCCACCACGTGGAGTTGTTGGGATGGAGTTAAAATTGGTAGTTTTTTTTTTTTTTTTGACATCCAGGTATCCCAACTTACACTAGACTAAATCCTGGACCCCCAAGACCCTTGCCTCTAGAACCTTAGAGGGGGTAAATCGCGGGTTATGCCTCAATTGGATCACAGATTCCCCCCACCACCTGTACACTTCTGCGCACAAGAGATCCTCCTCCAAAATGATTGCTCCATACCATAAAATTGGTAGTTTTATTTGTATTGAATAGAAGTTTTGGGCAAATTGGACTTCCACATTCTATAAGACACTTGTTCTATATTTATTCATTTATGCAATCGATTTTTCCATAGAAAAAGTCGGATTTTCTTCCACCATGTAATATAATTTTATAAACACAGTAGCAGGTTGAAAATAAAGTTGGAAAGTGATTATGATTTTGTTTCTCCAAAAATTTATTATATCTGACAAGGTAGGATAGCGGGGTGCAATTGCTTTTATCCCGTTTAAATTATTTTTTCGTGTTGTTGAATTATTATATTTATGAAATTAGAGATATGATATGTGATGACCTCCAAAAATGACTAACAGGCGTCGTTAGGAGATAGTGTACACTTTGATGAGTTTTGTAATATACCTACTGTGAGTGCTATATTTGTAGAAGAAGGAAATAGAAGCAATGGAGAAATGTATTGTCTACTCTTTTTCATTCAAAGAGTCATCCCCTTTATTGATACAAGAATTGTTATTTATAATGATCAAGCCGACATGGTCACTGTTGAAATCGATCCACGAGGCCTAATCTTTTAGACCCTATTTTCACATCAACTCTATCTCGCATTAATTGTATTGACAAACTTTTGACAAGGGATTAGCCACTCTACATTCTTAGACTGACATTCCCGACACTTATTTAATGAAAACGTTACATCAATCAATTCAAAAGATGCGCCAATCAGACCCCTCGGTGGAAGACTTGAACCAATGCCACATGTATGAAGATGGGACTTCCACGTGGGTCATTTCGTATGATCAGTAACAATATGTATGATATGGTCATCCGATATAAAAAAAAATAAGATATGTGTTGAGCTCTTATCAGTTCCTAAAGATATGATGACAGTATGATATTTTGACGCATGATTTAAATATTTTATTCGGGATTGCACCATTATTTTTGTGTCCTATTGAATATTCACATGTACTTACCATTTTCCTTTACTCCTCATAGGTTATAACGTATCGTTGTTTGGCGAGTGATGAGATACAGTTATAATGTCAAGATTTATGGAACTCGAAAAAATAATCCAGTGTAATGTGACTATGAATTTTATTTTCAGCATTATTTTTATTTTATTATCATGTGGATCTTGTTATTTAGGATTTGGAACATTTTTTAATTGGTTATGTTTCCTATATATTTTTATTTAATATTTGCTGAACAAAAATTTCATGTGGTTATGTTTTAATTACGTAATGAAACTTTTGATAACGATTCAAATATTAAAATTTTGGACTGTTACCCATGGCATCTTGAATATCGTAGCAAACCTCCATCGGTTTGTGCTAGATAGGACAAGTACTAATAGCATTTTTCTTCAACATGAGATTATGCATTTGGATATGTTCATAGAGACAAACGATGCCTAAGATTTGCTAGGCATGGGATATGGATAGTTATTGGCGTACTCTAAAGCCAGTAGTGGCAACGTTGATCAAATGAGATTTAGTTCTTGTAATCTTTAACGATAGTATAATAGTGTTTTGCATCTCATAAATTATCAATTTTTTTTCATTGAGTGGAGGTAGCGTTAGGTATTATGGCTTTCTTAAATTTGTATTTTCATTTTTATGAATAATTAGACAATAATTTGTATTATGTTTGAGAGCTATTCGCAGAATGCCTATTCCCCGCTTCACCAGATGCTTATTTCTAACTTCGCGAGATGATTATCTCTCACCCTTTACTATCGTCTAGCCCAACTATAAGCCCTCGTCCACTCAAGGCCAATTTATAAGTCTTCGATAGTTCGAGACGAGTCATCAGCTTGATATTTATTCTTCTATCTCCGTGAGATGCATTCACCACATGAGTTATTGCATTATAGCCGCATTTATCTAACTTCTAATAAAAAGCGGAAGGAGGATCTGCTATTCATGCAATAGCAAATGAATTCAGTTTTACTATGCATTATGTCATTTTTTATTTTCCATTTTGTTTATGTCAAACAAATGTTTTTCCTAGGGATGGCAATTTGAACCGTCAAAATCGAAAACCGCGGTTAACCGAACCGAATGGGGCGAAAAAAATCGAACCGATGGTGCAATGGGGTGGATATGGTTTTTATTTTTATGAACCGATTTGTGGCGGTGCGGGTATGGTATTTACGTCGTCGAACCGA